TGAAATAACTTTTGTCTTAATCAATATTTAAAACTTTTTGATGTATATGGGTATGATGACTATTGGGCTGTTAGTACAGTACAAAACTATTTATATTAATTTTTTAATACTGAACATTTAAAATTTAAAATGTAATTAGATTTTTTCTGGAAAAATTTAAACTAGCCAATTGATCATAAAAGCGTTTTCCTATAAATTTTAGGACAACAATATTTTTTTTTTTGTTATAGATATTATTAATATTAACTCGAAACACCGTAATAACCTTTTTAAAAATACTATTTTTGGAATTTTCATGAATTTTTTCGTACGTTTAGCTAGGATCAATTTTTTAATTTTAATTTTTCAGGTCTTTCTGTTACTCTTTGTATAGGTACAACGGCTGCTGGACTCAATTCCGGTACATCCGGTTGGGTCAGCTGATTGCGCCTCCCGAATCGATTGCATTAATTAGGTATTAAGTATTATAGTATTTAATATGTTTATATTATTGTAGTTTCGCTTTCAACTCATTAATCGACATAGCGATATATTTTTTTTTTATTTTAGCAGACATTAATTAAATTTCGTGCGTACATAGATTAAAATTTAATGTTGATAGTTAAATTAATTACGACCGTTATTGTATAATATGAGAACCATTTGAGTAGGAAATTTAATTGAGTTCTTTAAAACGCATGTGCCTATTATAAGTACACACAAAAAAATTATATGATAAAACGTTCGTCGTGTTAAAAACAAAAACAATTAAATTCGTTTATCGAATGCAAGCGTGTTTCGAAACAAAATCAATAATAATAATAGACGTGTATTATGTACCTACTATAACATAGTACGTGAATATTAAACGTAAAAATGTAAAAGAACAAATTAAACCTATATTTAATCGTCGCAGACTGCAGTTTAATAAACAATGAGCACGAAGAATATTATTATGTTGGAAACTAAATTATTACCTATTGTGATTAATAATAATTATACTTCACATCATGATAGTGTATTTGTGTCACTTAGGGATAGGTACGTCGTTATTATACTATACTATATAATAATAATATTATGCACTTCCAGTTGTTCAAAAATACGATGACTTTATAATATAATATTATTACTATTATTATTTTGAAGCCAAACAAGTATTTACGATTTGTAAACCGTAGAAATTATAATAATAAGACTTTTTGAATAGGACAATACGTAAGTATATATCTTATATGTCACCTTTATTATATATTACAAGTGCTCGAATTTCAATGAAAAGTGCATAATCTTTAGGGTGATTGGGAAAATGTATTCAAACTATAGGTAATTGGTTTCATGTAAGATAATATTATAACAGATACTTCAAAGGTGACACTTTTATTTTGCAGTTTATAGTAATTTTACATAGGTACCTAAGTTTATTAATATTTAGTTGCATTTATTATATTAATCATACAAACGAGTTTTTAGTATAAATTAGGAAATTAAAAATATTATAATATTATTGAAATAATTTCAATATAGTATAGTAGGTATTTCTCATCCAAGTAAATTAATGTCGACCGTTCTATATAATATAAAAGCGAATAGCGATAATGTATTTCAATAAAAAAAACAACTCATTATGATCAGTTGAGATACATATTATATACATTGCGATTCGCAATCGCATTTATTTTAGTATACTGTTTATTTATTATGCGTGCTTATAATATAAGTTTGGTATTAAGTTTTTGTTTTATTTTTAGTATAGTTGAGATAAAGTGTTAAGCATGTCCAAAGTTAAACTATCAGCTTCGTTAAGTAGTTGAGTCTATAAAAAATGTAGGTAATTTTTATAAGGTCATTATTATGTCGAAAGGGCATTTTAGATTATGTTTCATATTTTTTAGGGCAAATCCGGGCCCAATAAAATTAGTCATTACTATATCATATTATTATAATAATAAATGTATCTACTGGCTACTATATTATTATATAATCGACCGCCACTGGAAACGATAATAATATAATATTAATATGCGATAAAGACGTACACTCAAACTACATGGATGCGAGTATAGCTGGTATATATACAGCATTTTTGTGCTTCTTATACGGTGATATACTGGTATCCCAATCTTTCAGCGAACAGTGGTGACAGTTGGTGGCAGTGGCAATGACAAGACCACCCATGGCACAATATTATTGGCAATCGAGTACACAGTGTATGCGGTGCAGTGTACATATTATTGTGTATAAAGCGTTTGACGATGATAAAATCGTGTCATCGAGTGCAGAACATTACTCAAAATACCGTTTATATTAGATATTATATTATAATATAATATAATATGATTATGATAATAGGTTAAAAAATATAGTGAAATACAATAAAAAAACAATTAATATAGTATAAGAAAACACTCATTATTTATTGTGAATAATTTTGAAAATATTGTAATATTATATTATAATATACCCGCAGAACATGATAGAAAAACTGCGGTTATTATACAAATAATCGGAAACAGGTATAACAATATAAAATAAAAAGCAAAAAAAAATAGCAAAATAACAAAATATGAGTTTCAAAGTAAAAATTACAATTTAGGTGTAGGTGTATAATAATATTATAAACTTATATATTGAAGTATATTTGCATACAAATAGATAAGAACAGAAATTATAAATTTTAAGGTTTACGTAATGATGCATATAATAATAAGAGTTACAATATTGAAGATTATTGACCGGTATACATTTCAGTAGGTACTAGTATTATGCGACAACGTAGGTAGTCAACGTTTAAATGTGAGTGTCTTCGTTGTAAGTACATGAGCGGTAGGAAAAAAAATACAAGTTGCTCAGACGATGATTAATTAGTGAAATATTTAATATATTATGACATTATGTACAAATTATAAAAATAATAGTTTAAAATCCGACAGAGAGAATGAAAATAAGTGGCTAATTTACAATCGACAGATACCATTATATAGGTATGTTTATAAAAGAAATGAAAAAAAGAGCCATGTCAAATGGCTGCATTATGAAATAACATAAAAATGCGATAACTACTGAATGAAAAATTCTCTCTCAAACCTCGACGATTTCCTTCCATTATATTTTATTCTTACAAATTAGTTTATTATTGTTATTATATAAAAAAATGACACCGAATATAATGTGGATTCGAAAACGATACGATCGAAATGTTATAAGCACGGGCCTGTTGCTGTATTAGTATTTTTCATACGTGTCACTCAATTATAAATTAACCACGAGAAAAAAAATGATGTTTTCATTATATTATTTTAAATCGAAAAAAATATCACACAACACCGACTTCCGTGTGGAACGTGTAGAACGAGTGTTGAATTGGGCAATCCGATTGGTTGATTTTATTTATTATCAAATTCTATAGATATTGTATAGACCCTTAAATTATGCAATACAAATAAAAAACACACACCACATGTCTACACGGAACTTGGCGATAGTTAGGAGGACGCCACTCACGCTCACGTCGCCTTACTAACTCATAACATGGCAAATTATACATTCTGAATGATCCGTTGAGCTCTGTAATATTAGAGTGAATTGACCAATAATTATAAAATTTAGAAGGAAAAATATTTTATAATAGGTGAATTCATAATATTTTGGATTATTGAACGTATACAATTCGCCATATTTTCCATTCGTAGCACCACGCATGCGATTGTAGCGTCCTCACAATGATTGTCGTGTGGGTAATAATATATAAGTAGTTTAATATTTAATGGAGAAATTACATGTATATATTAATAAATAATGTCTTGGGCTTGATCAATGAACAATGAACATAAATAAAATATAGTCGATGTAAATGAGCCACTTTATTCTGTCGTAAAACGTTATTAGAAATTAAATCAAAATTAAAATCAGTTACCTATAATATAATAAAAATGAGACGCAATAATGGGTGGGTGCAGGAAGAGGCGTCAAGATATAGGGATGATTACGCTGACCGACCGATCCGTATAATATAACGCATCACGAAATATCAGGATTTATCTACCAGCACCCTCCTTGTCTGTTTAAAAATAAAATGAAAAATCTAAACCTAGGTACCCTATAACTGGTGAATTACTCGGGACATAGTACATATTATTATATTATGGTCAATACTCTAGTAATGTTGAAGAGAATTCGAATCAAATCGTCTTTATATCATTGTATCAATTAATTTGGTAAGCGATCACACCTAATAACAACGGTGAGGTATAAATTGAGATAATTAATTCGGTATCGTCTACTAAATATTTTCAAAAGTTTAAAAATATATAGGTAAGTGAATTAGCTGGATCAGGTGCTGGCACCAATTGGAATCAAATGATGAAGGATATTTATGTATTATTCAAAAGGTGCGTATTTCTTAAATTAAATTCAACAATATTATTATGTGCACCATAATATTATTATATTGCGAAAATAGAGGTTTGTATAAACGATCGAATTCAAAACATAAACTCGGTGGAACAGGGTCGTAAAGAGTAACATTTACAGCTCAGTCTAAAATTCTACCCTCCAATGTCTACGCACGCGATGAACAAAATTTTTTAAAAGATTTAAAATTTAAAAAAAGATAAAATATGTCCCGAGTATCCGAACCAGGTTTACCGTATAGTCGATAATTAATAATAATTATAATAGTAACCCAACCCGTTCGGTCGTCCTATTACCTATGTACTCAATTACGATAATATGAGAATAAGAAGAAAAAAACATTGTCATCAGTCTTATCCAAAGAACACGCAATTAACAATAATAATAATTATAATATAGGCACCTATCTACCAACGCTTAATAATATTTTATAATAATAATATAAATACTAAAATACCGAAATGACGTCACAGTAATAATATTCTCGTCGTCGTCGTCTTTTTCGATGCAATATACTCATATTATCACTGTAAGGCAATAACAATATAATAATAGGTACCTCCTCCTGAGCGGGTGCTTTGGACCACAACCATAGTCAAGTGCGCGCCTTAACGGCGGACCACCCTCACCGGTGTCACGTGGTCGGGCACCGGTATGGTGGTTAACACGTAAGTGGTATCTCCCATCGAGTCGCTGTACGATGCACCGGCGTTGGCGTGGCCGCGGTACTTGTTGGGTGGTGGCAGCAGTGGAGCGGTACTGGGGCTGCGGTTGACCGCGGCGGCCGCGGCGTTTGGATGGGACGAGGACGGCTGCGTGCGAGGCCTGCGCCTGGTCATTCCGCCGTTGCATGCGCAAGGTTGGCCCGGGTTGCTGCACACACTACGTTTGTCGCGAGTCGCACACGACGCAATAATGATATGCGGACACACAAAACAAGACACGCGGCCAATTAAAATCCATACAGTTATACATTGATAATAACAATATCGTATTATAGTTGAAGCCAGTGGCGTATCCAAGGGGATGGGGGGCGGGGGGTTGGGGGGTTGTGACATCCCCAAAAGGAATAACAACATTTTCATTAATAAATTATTTTCAGATAAAATCCGTCGAGATTTAATTGTACTCCCCCCCCCTCCAGGAAAAAATCTGGATACTCCACTATGGACAACTTGTAGCTGGTATGTAGGTGTATACCTACAAATATAATGTATCATATTACTATCGTAGCCAGTGAAAACACGAAATATAGAAAAATATTCATAATAGTTAAAATGTCCATATGGCAGTTTGATAAATATTATAGGCCGGTAAGGCAAATGTGCCGAGGTTAGCTAATTGTAAGTTATAGTAATATTAATGGTTGGACAACATAAACTATTATAGAATAACTGGGTGATTACATAGCCAGGATGGGATATTTTGAGTGTTAAAAGTGCTGCCTTATCTTAAATGTAGATTAAATACGTCTTTCTCTCTCCCTATTACTTTATAGCTATTAATGAGTGCGGATGGTCTTAGTCAATAAATTTGCTATTTTATAATCATAATATAATGTTATATGATATATTATATTATAATAATCTATATTTATATATATACGCGGGGCTTCTAACCAGAGACTGGAATCTTTTGAATTTATAAGTATCTGCTCCCGGTACTGGTTCTCCAAAAATAAATTAACTGTTCAGGTTCGGTTCTGATTGTTTTGATAAATAAAAAAATAAAGGTTTAGGCTCCAAATAATTTCGGTACCAATTCCAGATAATCCGGAATGCGGGTTTAATTAATAGTTTGAGAAATATTAGAAAACTTATATGATCATACATAGTTTATACACAAAACAGTAAGTTATACTATAAAATTATGATAAATTAAATAATTTTATTTTTGAACCTAAAAGAACCTATTTAATATAAAAATTATAGTCCGGTTCTGGTACTTGATTTATTAAAATAAAGGTTTCGATTCCTGTTCCGATTCTTAATATTTTAAAGGTTCTTTTAGGTTCGGTTCCAGTCCCTGATTTCTCACCCTTTGTAGTTTCTGAATACGTCATACTTGCGAATGATGGCTCTTACGACGATCATCATCAATAGGGACAGTCCGATTATGCACAATACGACGATGGTGCAGATTATACCGATCATGCTCGAGCCGATGTCGTTATTATCGGCTTGGTTATTATGGCTGTTGCTGTAGTTGTTTACTCCCCGAGTCGCTAAAACAGAATTAGTAGTAATATTCTTCTTCTTCAGGCTCGGGGGTGGCCCAAAATCCGGAACGCCACTGTGTTGAGGCGGCCCAGTTGGTGGCTGGATGGTAATTATTGGTAACTTGGTGGTGACAACAGGGGCTGCGACCTCGGCCGCGATGTCGTCGTCGAAGTCTGGTATGTTCTCCTGGTCGTCAATGGTCCGCTTTAAGACTGGCACGACTACACATGCGAAACCGATAAAACAATCATACTTTATTATTATATACTTAATATAGATACACGTACAACAGATGGACGACGCCGATGACGACAACGACTACGTGACAACATAAACGAAAATCATTTATTAAATTATATTGTGCATTGCACAGTGGCGTGGCGAACTCAAATAATATTTTACGAGCCCATATAATATAAACGTATCGAGTTTACTGTCATATTTTTAGCTACCTTGTCGCAGTTATAAAACTAAATTATGTGCCCATATTGGGCAACCACTACATCTTGAAAACTCAGAGGCTATCGCCTCTCGATTACTCTCTCCTCCACTCCACTGCGCATGTGTGTCTATGTTGTCTTTGGTCACGTGTAGGTATATAATATATATATATATTATATTATATACGATGATAAGACCACGGTCGCAGGATATAAGGTCACAGGTGTACGCCCCTTGGACAAGAGTAGTACCTATAATCTATATTCATTATTACATTTTTTTTAATAAAACAGTTGTTATCACCTATAAAATATAATAGGTACCTACATGTGATAACAACCGGTATTATCAGTCGGTCTACTCGTTCATTTTCGAACTCGACCAGTCAAACTTTCTGTACTATTTCGTTCTTATCATTATGTTATTATAATTTAGAAACCGACGAGATAAATTTGAAGAGGTATAAAAATATATTATCTGATTTAATTTCTTTTTTTTTACACGTAGTCAATCTGGTCAATTGAGTTGGAAATTATTGTTTTTTTTTAACATTCAAATATTTTTAGCGTACAAATGTTATCAGTTATCATTGCATAAAATGCATAACTTTTTAAAAAGGGCGAAGTTTGACTCTTTACTCTCCGCGAAAACTCCGACTAAAGATAGTTACCAGTTATACTTAGTATAGTTAATACTCTGCAGTACGTAGACACCAATACACTGATGAAGTGTCTCTGACCTTATATATACCATTTCCTAAGACCGCGGTCGTGGTATATAATATATTATATTATTATATTATATTATATACAAACTATTATAGTCATCGTTTCGTCTGCCATCAGTTTTAATAATAAAAAAATAAACGATGTATGTATACCGGAGACTTAAAACTCTGCAACCCGTTTTAAGTTCGGTAAATACATCGATTAGGTGTGTGCTCTGATGAGATATAATATATCTATGTATTGTGAGTGTATATTTTGTATTTTTTCTAACAACCAATGGATTACAACGGATAAGCAAAATTGTTGAAGTTTAGCTGATTAGCTGATTTCGATGAGTTTTGATTTAAAAGGAAACTTTACTTTAGTGTTTAAGTATACTATACGATAAAATAACGAAATTATTTTAATTTACTCAAAAAAAATTGGCTATAGGCATCGTGGTAAATAAATTTACCACTCATAAAATGTATTACTGTATTAATTATACTCGTCTATTCTATAGGTTGAGTTGAAAAAGTGATGACAATTTATAATTATTAGGCATTGCAAAATTTGCTGTCGTTAATTCAATACTCAGATATAGGTAACCATATGTGTATGTGTAATGTGTATGTGTAAATGAATGTGTTGGTAATTACTATATTATATAATATTTATACATATACAGTAGAAATCATTTATAATGACAACGGTTTTGCAGTGATATAGAATTAAAAGTCACTGCAAAACTTTAATTTGTAATAAAAATAAATCTAAATGTTTAATAATGTTCATGATTGAGCAATCATTTTGTGTTTTTAATATAATGTATAAAATTTACTGTTTTCTAAAAATTCTTTTTTTAAATTTTATTATTATGACAATCGGGTAGTTATAGGTATGACTATTATTTTTCGTTGTCCTTTAGCGTCATTATAAACGGTTTCTGCTTTATATAAAACTATTCTACAGACTACATTTTATACTCTGAAGAAATATAACTATATAAGTACCATACATTTATAATAAAACAAATACAAGGCATTTGTTGGTCGAGACCATTTTTTTTTTTATTCACATTTAAAAAAAAAAATCGATGAAGTTGAGTTAACAATTGAGTTATTAAGAGAGTATTTCTTAAAAAAAAAAAAAAAATACAAAACATAATATAAAAAAAAGCAAAAATCAAAAACTGTAAATAATAAATTGTTTTCCATAATATGAATTGATTTGAAAGTATATAAAAAAATTATTAAATTATTTTAAGTAGTATAATATTATTATTAATCAAACACATTTTATTATTGTTATATATTATATACATCACGTCAGAGCAATAACAAACATAAAAAGTTATTAAATTATATATATTATACACTTATAGACAATCACGCTAGTTAGGCAGCGTGTTATTTTACATACCACTTTGTTTGTCGTGACGCTTGATCACTACGTGTTCCACATGGGCGACGGTTTCGTCGTGGTTGACTGGTACGGCCACGGATAATTTCGGTGGCATCGCCACGGGGGCGGCGGGAGTGGTGGCATCAACCAATGAGGCATCCTCAAAGATGGTATCCGATTTCAAGGGGGATGGGGCTTTTGGTTCACCCACAGCGTCGGGGAAGTGCCCAAGCCACAAGTCTGCTGCGTAATTTTTCTTAGGATTGGATGGTTGTACGTTGTTGGGCGAAGTTTTGATATTGGATGATTCTACATGGTTGACCGAAGTTTTGGTGTTGTTTAATTCTACATTGTTGATCGAGGTTTTAGCATTAGATAATTCCATATTGTTGGCCGATGATTTGACAGCGGGGGTCCAAGGCACCCCCACTGTAGAATTTTGCACCCCCGGAGGGGGTGCAAATTCGTTCTTCAAGGCAGCGACTAAAACGGCTTGGGCAGATTTCACGGACCCCTCTGCTGGGCCTGATTGGTTTCCGTTGCATCTATCTGTTTGGCAGCAGTGTAATGCATGGATACCAGGGTTGGCGGCAGAGGGTGCAGCTCCATTAGTAGGAACTTGCATGATAGGGAACTCGGAGGATTCGGCTTCCATCGATTTCAAAATTTCCTCGCAGGATTGTTTTCTGTATACATATTCGCCGGAAACGAGTGTAGTCGGGGACGCACGAGCGGAAACGCGCCACAAACAGACAAACAAAAACACATGCCAATCAGTATTATGCACATGATAATTTTTATAAGAGTAATAGTATATTATACACGACGATATATAATTTGTCATTATTGCAGCATACGCAATATGGACATCATAATATTGTATCTATCTAATTATTGGTGGTAGGATATATTAAATGGTACAAGTATAATAGGTATATAATAGCATGCGCAAGAGGTGAGAATAAGTTGGTAGAAGTAATGCATCCCAGACAGTATTTTGTAAGCATTACGGCATTACAGCACTAATATTATTCGTTATAATAATGTTGTAATAATATTTATAAACAAAATATTGCTGTCTGGGTAGTAAGTAATTGAAAGGTGTTAAATATAATTAAAAAATAAGACTATATTGCGATAGTTGAAAAGTAAAAAATAAATTAATATTATTTATTTTTTTTTATTACAATTATTTGAAGTTGGAAATATGGATAACCATTTCACCAATATCCAAGCATCGAGAAAAAAATGTTATGAAATGTTTTTACTAATTATTAATTGATATATTAAATCCTAAATCCTTCTATTTATTACTTGGAAATTGAACTTTTGAAAAACAAACGAGTGCTGTGAAATACACTAAAGTGCCGTCTAATTTGAAAAAAAACTATCAATATCACTATTGTTGCCTATTTATATAATAATTTTATAAGTGTATAATGTATATACAACAGAAGAACTCATTTAACGAAAAACTCCTGTTCTACGCAGGATTCGGGAGAAACGCGATATCTATATAAGTTACACGTCGACGAACACACAATAATCACCGAGATATATCATGCAACGAAACTAAGACACAACGACACGACGTAGATGCAAAGCTGTAGTGTATAATGATGTGCACTGTGCAGTAGTCACAGTAGATTATATTATGGCTATCGCATAAATACATATCAAACAATATATATAATATACAACTATGATAAACGTAATACTAATACATAAATAAAAAGCAGCTGTGGAACAAAGGAAAGAAAACCCCCAAAAAACACCTATAAAATAAACAATAAGCAACTACGACTAAATAATATGATGTACCTCTAATACTACAACAGCATAATATATATAACAACAGATGAACAGCATTATTGCTACATATGAAGAATCCACTGAACTAATCAAGGGACTCAACTAGTCAAGGGAAAACACGGTGAAATGTTATGTTATCTTTGAAAATTGTTATCATCATCACAATATCGATGTTAAAAATCAAATCGGAATGCATATGGCGGTTCCCGATGGTCTCATTTTTCATATATAAAAATTGAGAATTATACATGATACATGTATTTAGTTCAGTGGAAGAATCATAATATTAATTATGAGTTAGGTGTAAACTACTATTATAATATTATTAAAATTTACAATATTATAATATAATTATGGTGCGAAATGAGAATATTTCAAAAAGAAAACAAAGGTCGGAGATGAGACCGGTCGGCGGTGCAGGTACACATCGCCCGTACTAAATGAACACACTATAAAATGTATACCTACGCAGCGACTATATAAAATCGCGAGACGCGTATTATAGGTATATAATATTATTATTACGTATCCGTCACCGACCAATTAGCCACATAAAATATATTTTCCTGTAGGTACAGTCCCAACGACTCCTTCGCCGGACTATACCTCTTCTATGCCTCAAAATATTATAAGCGTGTGTAGGATAACGGGCGACTAGAATTTAGGTATAATGACAAATTTGATGTAGGTAATATAGTAATTATATCATTATGAAATGCAACGTGCGAACATGCGATCGCGTACAAGGAAGTAGCCGTGGAAGGTCCAGTCCGTTTTCTATTGGTGAGTTGGGGGTGAAAGTTCCAGTATAGTTTATGGCACCCCATAACCCTCCATTGAAGTGTATACCTATTATATTTAAAGACACCATAATAGTGAACAGTGTAAATACGTTTACATTAGACGATGAGAAGTATAAAAATACATAAAACTCAGGAGGAAATCGATACGATTAAGAAAAATCTGTTTGTTGTGGAGGGATTGGACACCAACGCCCTGCTATAATTGCCCACTCCTGGAACCACCACGGCAAATGGAAAACGTGTATAATATACATATTATGTAGGTACCTATATATTATTATAAATTATATTATAAACTCACGCGAAGTGCAACTGTTCCAAACATCCATATGATCCCCTGATGGCTGCCGCATGTTCGGTGGTTGCAACAGCCAGGGCCTTGACAAATTTAGAGAAGACTGGACTAATAATTGAGCTATTAGCGAGAATGTCGAGTGAGTAGGTGTCTTCTTCGACTAAAGGAATGATTGGTTGAACTTCAGAATAACAGCCAAGCCGGGTGGAGCAAGTTCCATCTCCCCCGGCGGCCTCCGAACACTTGGGAAGGTTGCAATAGCAGCTGATCATGGGCGCCTGGGCTGGTGCTGGTGCTGCCGGTTTCACGGTTGCATTCTTATCTGCTGGTGTCACGGTTGCAATATTATCTACTGGTGTCACGGTTGCAATATTATCTGCTGGTGTCACGGTTGAAATATTATCTGCAGGTGTCACGGTTGCAATATAATCTGCTGGTTTCACGGTTGAAATATTATCTACTGGTTTCACGGTTGCATTCTTATCTGCTGGTTTCACGGTTGTAATCGTATCAGCTGGTTTCACGGTTGTAATTGACGAATCCAAATCCGACTCTACGAGTTTACTGGTGACGTATTCTGCGCACAAAACATTGTCAATGTTAATTGTTAATATATAAGTATTGTAGGTACATAACTATATAATATATGAGTATATACTATTCTATTTATGTGATAAAAAACTAATATTATTGTATTGTTTTATATAACCCCGTTATTAATCAAAATGATCAGAAAACTTGAAGTTATATTATATAAGCGTAATATTACATATTATGTAGTGAAATACATTATATAGGAATAGACATTTATACATATAGGTGTATACCGTTACGTTGAAAAGTACAGAATATTTAATATTATATGTATGCGATATTTACTTTGCATATTTTAAAGATTTTGAAGATTGTGCTACCTACGTTCAGGTATAATATTATATTTTATGAACATTATCCCCAAGGACATAAAAAATTGTCGACAATTAAACAAATAATTCAAATTTCATTTAAAGTTTCAAATTAAAAAAAAAGATGAACAACCACATTCGGAATTAAATTTGTATGAAGTGCTTATTTCTATTTAGGGACAAATGTTTACTGTTTTAAGTGCTACAAATCCCGAACCAAAAATTATATGGTTATATCAAAGTGACAAAAACGAGTAAAGAACGGCTGATAAAGAACTGAAGGGGTGGAAAAATGATATATTTAGATTTTAGGTAGGTGCGCTGGTATACAATATGGAAAACCGGCGGAAAATGTAATTATTTAATACTAGTCAAAGCCCCCCCCCACGATGTCAAAATGGAATTTTAATTACCAACAACAATAAATAGTAATAATAAAAATAATAATGATGATAAATATTAATAATATTATATTTGCGAGAAGAGCAGTCGCGTCACGTTCGGCGCGCGCGACCTACTACAGACTATAAACGTGTGGCAACAACCTGTTGCGCCTAGTCGTTGTTTTTGTTTACAAGGAGTAAGTATTATTATTATTTATTATCATCATCATTATTATTATTCCTACTACTAGTTATTACTATTACTAAAACTAGGTACTACTACTACTGATGTTGTTGTTGTTTGAGCACATGGTTAACCGACTTGAGTTGGCACGAAGTGGGTGAAAGAGGAAGGAGCGCGCGGGATAAATGGTCGTCTGCCTGCCCAGTCGTGCGCGCGCACACATTTGTTATTGTATATAGTAATCGATGTATTTGATTATATTATTATTATTACTACGTGGGAAACGGAAATACAACTTTTGCTGCTAAAAATAGAACAACAATAACAGCGTGCAATCAAAGGCGGAAAATATAATATTATGATACGAGGTACTGAGTATATTATGATAATGAATGTTTAGACTGTTTAGAGACAAGTATGGGCAGCATTTTGTCAGACTATATTATAAAATAATACGATTTGACCTCGACCCTGCGCGTGCCATAAATACAAAACGGAATAATAATATTATTGTTGTGTTCGAAAATGTACGAATATGTATTAAAAACTAACTAGCACAGCGATCTCTTTTTACGAATTTCACGAAACTGCCGTATTGGTATATTATATTAAAGATACCCCATAATATGCGTTTTGAAAATATGCAAAAAAATTATGTTTCAATTAGAAATACTATTACGAGACCTTATATTTAAAGGGGGTTTACAGGAGCTGGAGACCCCAATAACTAACCACCTCCCCCCCAAAAATACACAGATTTAGTCGCATAATATGTTTACAGTTTTAAAATAGTATACACCAGTAGCTATAGTAGTTTAATACAAATCAAAAATCAATACATTTTTTCTGCTTGGGTATAAATAAAATAATTATTAACTGAAATGTATATCTATTCTGCACCTAGTATTGTTTATTGTACCATTTACTTATTTATAGGAAATATTTTTGATGATATCGAGTACAATAGTATTCAAAACATTGATAGAAATTGGTATACAATATGATTAGGTAGGTACGGGTTTGTTTGATTTAAACTAAATCAAATAACACACATTTCCGAAAGTTAAAAAAAACATTTAGTTCACGTATAGACGAAATCTAACTAAATAAAATCAAACCATAACATGTGATAGTAGGTATAATCTGCTATTCTGCTGGATTAATAGGTATAGTATATACTGTGATTATGCGATAGATAATGTTCCGGAATAAAATTACGATAATACAATAATATAATACATTAAGGTTACCAAATTCAAAATGTGTTTGTTTCAAGTAAGCGAAATTTGTTGAAGTAAATTTTTAATATGAATTTTTAACAGAAAATCGGCAGAAATATAAATAATATTTTGATTGAATAGAAATCACATTTTGTGGGGAATAAATTATTATTCAAATAATGTATAACAAATAATAATGAATTATATAAATACACGAAATATAAATAAATGAGAATATTATACTAATCATAATGTCATACATATATTTTAAACCCATTATAAAATACAAATTCGTCCATTTAATATTATATTAATTTATCAAGTGCAGCATATTATAAGAAATACAAAACATAATTATAAGTTATTAATGATACCGATTGAATTGATTAAATTGATTGAGAAATTCGTATAAAGTACAAAAAAATTTAGAAAATTAATATATTATTATACAGACGAATAAACCCAATTTCCTAATAAAATATTGTGAATATACCTATATCTACCTACTTAAATATAAAGTAACTAAATACAATCCCACCATTATATTATATTATCGAATGGTAGAAATATTCAAAATCACTATAATATTATTGCCTTATGAATTTAAATTAAACGATTTTACAATCGCTGTACGAATGAATTATGAAAACTAATGATAATATATTGATATAATAATTAGTGATGTGATTTTATGAATATTTTCTACCGTCCGACACAAACATATTGTAAATAATAAAAATATATTACCCAATGGAGCGTGTGTGCTGGTGTATTTGGGCACAGAGATGACGGCGGCGGAGGCAATGGCTGCGACGACCAACGCAGAAACGACGCTTCGGAAAATCATCTTGAGGGATGAATGAACAAAGAACCGAAAGTTAGTCGCTAAACAGCGAGACTGAACGGAAAAGGGAACGCAATAGACAAAAGTTCGATAGAGGACATCTACCAGGAATAGGAAACGATGCGAGAGTGAGTGCCAAGTGAGCTCGGACGGGCCCTTAAATAGGCCGGCTCGGCCACCGGTTCGGCGGCGCTCGCGCGCACCCAGCGCCACAGCGGCGGCGGCGGCAGCAAATCGCGTGCCGCCGCCCACCGACGCCACGGCCCTGGAGGATGCGCCGCCGCGGCGGTAACACCGGTGCAGAGGGCGGGTGGGTGTGGTGTACGGCGACGAAACAGAACCGCACTCGGCCGTTTCCCCGACCCACCACCCAGTCCCACCCACATAACTCCCACCTACACTACGCCGCCCGGACACAACTCGAGGTGGCGGCCGATTAGCTCCGCGTCGAAGCGAGTCCGGAGATGATATTTTTTTTTCCGAAACTATTTTCCGTTTTTCGATTCTCCGTCATCGCCGCCGATTCAGTCGTAATAATAAAAAAAAACAATTTCTCGGATTCCGATTCTGGAGGTGCAAGGCCACGAGTCGTTACGACTTAATAATTTACAAGTGTGAACTGCACTGCAATGATGTCGTTTTGTAATAGTTGTATTTAGAAGTTATAATGAAGTTAACAATTAATAAATTTAATTCACATGCGAGTAAAAGGTTTGGAAAAAAATATTGACATGACTCGGTTAAAAATAATGAATCTACTTTATTTATAATTATTGTGTATAAATAGTGTATTACATCATAAAGATTAGATATCTATTGTGCCTATACCGTAAAGCCTACATCCATATAATTTATTATTTTACCAAGAAACATAACAGAAATTATGGTAGGTACCAATTACATTCTTTTAATTTAAAACCGTAATTTCAGGATAATAATAATATAGTTGTCAAAATATTTAAAAGAAGTTGCCTAAATAATTTTGAAATATTTAAGCTAAATATATGCTTTGGTCAAGAAGTTTATATTATTTTTGAAATTATTTTATAAAAAAACATTTACAAAATATTTTAATCATATATTCTCAAAAAACAATTTTACGGAAACTTTATAGGTAAAAATATTAATCCCACATTTTATGCAATCATATAGTACAATATTGTGTTATCATGAGAAGAAAATATTCATAAGATATTATTAGTCAAATATTCATTATTCCAGCACTTTTAAACATTCACAAAATATTATCAACTCCCAAATGCAGTGTGGGCAGTAATAGATATATTAATATGACGTATATTAAAGCCGGAAATGTCAAAAACGTTTTTAATTTTAATTCGATTTATTAAGTTATTTAAGTTAAAGTTATTTCAACAGTCAATTAAACTAGTTAAATTCTTAAGTTAATTATAGAAAATTAACGAACCGTAGTTAATATAAAAAGTTAAAAAATAATATTTTAACTCAGTAGCTAATTAATAGGGTAGGTAATTACCAACTATTTAATTCTGCAGGTTGTGGTTTTTTTCCGCCGTTTCTATAATTTTTAGATTTTTGATGCACTCGAAATTCGTCAAAACTCAAATAGGTATATTACAATGTTATAATATGATTACAGCATTTTTCAAATACTTTTATAGTTATTATTTTAACACAAATATATTATAATCTTCATTCTTCACCTATAGAATATAATATTTTGTATACCTTATACACACGGGTGATCCATTTAACATAAGTCACTATTTCAAAAACTATATTGATGCATTTGAAAGCATTATATTTTTTTTAGATAATTTTACAAGTTGGTAAAACATAACATTTTTTGAAAAATAATTTTCGTTTTCTATTTTTTATTAAATTAACTGTTTTTATTTAGCTCGTGATATGATATGCCTATAAAAATTGAACTTTGGACGAGTAGTTAATTATTTATACCTAAGAATTTTTTAAGTTATTATAGATAGGTAATACGCTATAATATACCTAGGTCCAAAAATTTGATTTTGATAGATCGAAGACCCGAAGTACCTATTATATCAACTCCAAATAATATTCTGTTTCAGAACATGTAAATAAAAATGTATGTTTAAATTCAAAAAAGTTTAAAATTATTATTGTAAAGAAAATAGTAAAAATGCTGTTTTGTAACGACTAAAAATTATGTAAAAGTAATATTTTTAGAAGCAATGGTGTTTTATGAAATAATTAGTCTCTTACGTTAAATCTTAAATGAATATTATCCCGTCATATTAATACAAAATGAAATGCGTTATATACAATTCGTCTATGTTTCTGTCTACATGTTCTAAATTTATTTTGAAATTAAAAAAAATCTATTAAATCAATGTATTATAATATAGGATCTTTAGTAATGGGTAAAAAGTTAAAAAATATTATAACGATAAAAAATAGTAAGAAATATATTTTTTAAATGATTATCTTTAACGACTTTTATTATCATATTTAAAAACAAAAGATTTCCAAAAAAACGTTAATAGTTTTTGAAATAATGAAACATTAAATGGATCACTAGGTAGCAGGCTTAAGATATAAATATATTCTATGGAAGGTGATAATATTATATTTGTGGGAGAAAATAATAATTGAAAAGTATTTCAGAATAAATTGCAGTCGTAAAATAATATAATACCTATAATAATATATTGTGTACCTATTAGGTACAGCATAAACATGAGTATGACCCTTGATGAATTTCGGATTAGTCAAAAATCTAAAAATTATGAAAACTTCGGAAATGAAACCATACCACAATAATATATAGACTATATATATATAAATTGTATATAATATATACCTAATATTATAACATCGATGTATAAATATTGAATTTTTGACGAGTATAGTTGATGAGTATAATAATAGTAATTAATTAAGTTATAATTAATAAACTATACCTACTTGTCCGAGATTTGATTTTGGTACATTGAAATACTTATAATATTTTGTTCCAGAATATAAAATTAAAAATGTATGAGGGGATGTATGTCTGAAAATATCCGAAAATAAAATGAATCGTATTTTAGCAGAAAAATTATAGTATACATAACTACATCAGAACCGTATTTCATATCTGAGTTATAAACCTATAACATATTTAAGTACACCGAAAGTAAAAAAACAGAAAAAATTATATCTGCGAAAATATTTTATCCGAATGTTGGTGGACTTTTCGGATAAAATACGTTTCAGCACCCCGAATTATTTTCTAATAATTAATTTTTGGCTTTATCATTGTTGGACTTAATACTTTAGAAAAAGATATATTTTATATCGAATACTTTTATAATTTTTTATATTTTTTGTAAATATATTTTTGGATGATATATTTTCTTCAAATATGTTGTTTTTTGTAACGACTTAAAATTGCCGATGTATTAGAAATATTTTCCAAAACGTTGGTGTTTTCTGAAATAAATAAGTCTCTCTCGTTAAATGGATCCCCACGTGTTTAAAATATTATTATAGTCTTACAAAGAAACATAATATATTATAATGTAAAATGTATCAATAAATTGTATCCGACTATATTACTGAGTTTTTATAATATAATATTAAAATGAAACGTGCAATTTGAACGCATAATTTAATTATTTAAATGCAATTAATAAAAAGTTCCATCAAATCTATGTATTATATAAATACAGGCTCCTATATATTATATATAATTTATAAGTACCTATAATAATAGTATATATCGGTAAAAAACGATACCTGTATATACAGCATCTCAATTCCATCGTTTTCATAATTTTTAGATTTTTGATTCATTAAAAATTCATCAAAACGCACATACTTTTACACTAGCTGTATTGTATAAGTTATAATATAGTATCAATAAGTACTACTATAATTCTGAAATGGGTACTTTTATAATTATTATTCTCTCACAAATATATAACCTTCACCTATCGAATATATTATAATATGTAATATTATCTTATACCCGCGAGTGATCCGTATAACGTATAAAAAGTCCTCATGTTGTACTGTGAGTGGTAACGAATCATGTACCTACCTAAAATAAATATTTTAAAAAACTTTAGTATTTTCTGAAATAATAAGTGTCTTACATGAAATAGATCACCCCATATATAGGTATCAGGTAACCTACCTAACTATAATGTTACCGTGTTACAAAAGTATATTATATTATAATATAAAATTTGTATTAATTTTATTCAACTATTTAATCGAGATTATTATATATATATATAAATGAAACGCTAAACTTTAACGCATTTGTATATTGACTATATTTATATAATATGCAAGCAAATTCGTCCCATAACATCAATGTAAGTATTATATAAGTACACTTATGTCCTAAGTGCAATATAAAATATATGTGTATAGTATATTATTGTACAAATTGTTTAAATAAAATCATATTTTTACTCGTTATATTATAATATAATGCACATATTTTCAGTTTAACACTGAATCTTGTTAGATCGAATTTAAATTCATTATTATTATAAGACATTCATTATTATTTATTATTAATTCATTATTAATTATATAGATAGGTATATTATATATATAGGTGCCTATGGAAACTTTACACAACATATTATATAGATGAATATTAATATATTTGATTAATAAAAAAAATAGTAAAATTTATAGTTATAATAAATATAAATAATAGTATATTCAACCAAAAATTGAAATTTCGATGTTATTTAAAAATTCACAATTATTTTGACAAGCAGCTAAAATGTATACAAAATTCTGTACGGGTAAAATAACATGTTCACCGGGTCAGCTAGTATTGCATTACCTATATCCAAATATTGAAATATATAATGTACCTTCAGCTATAGGTTTTTATATATTATTATATTATTATAAGTCGGCGGGACGTTTTCGTATTCAGTTCCGTTGTCAGTAATAAATACCTTGTAATAAATACTAATAATCGCATAATACCAATATACCATAGTAAATCAAATAGCTTAAATCAATATAGTTATTACTTT